TTCTGAGGCTTTGCCAGAAAAAACCCACCACTGCTGCAGCTTCAGTCCCGGTGCCCGTGGTCTGCTGGAGACGGTCTCCAGCAGACCAGGGGCACCGGGAGCAGCTTACGAATGGGGCTCTCTCGCCCCGGAGCTCGCAGGCAGCAATCCGCCACCTCGACCTCCGGGGGCGAGAAAGCCCCGTTCGTAAGTACGGATCCGACATAAGTCGGATCCGCGTAAGTCGGGGACTGCCTGTATACTGTCCTCTCTTCTTCTCTGCCCAACCACAGTAGTAAAATTTACAGCAGCATCATTCTTTCATTTCCTACAGCTTTTTAAGGTCTATCTTGTAAGGCTCTACTCAAGTGGTTATAGTAAGATAATGCCAAAATGGGCTATTTAAAAACACTACAAGGAAAGTTCTGCTCTCAGTTACCCCAGTTGAAATCCAGAATAACTTTAGTGAAGTCAACAGCATTTTCAGTTTTTTTCAACTGTTCTTTCACAATGGAGGTGTCACACCAAGTCCATTTTATGGCTTGCCATTTCCCTACCATGAAGTCTGGGCAGATATCCCGTGGAATCCTCTGCTACTTACCACTGATTGTGTTCCTCGTGTGGATGATGTTGTAACTGGAGTTATAGTTATAGTACTTGTTACTTTGCTTGCTCCAGGCCTGGAGGAGAAATGGTTCCTCGGGGAACGAAGGACTGTACCAGTCATAACCTCCTTTTCTGCTGCTACATTCATTGGTCTGACTGTTATCACAGGACTAGTTCCCTCAGAAGCACCACCAGGGGAGCGTTTAAACTGAGAACCTAGATGAATATGAATTTTGTTGTCCTCTGTTGTTATAATGTTGGCATTGGCATTGTACTTCCGGATTGGTGTTGGGACCGTTTGTTTTTCTGGTGTTACTTTGAAAACAGCCCTTCCCATGGTCATATCCTGTAATTCTGGGGAGACAGAGATTTCTGCTGGTGCTGCAGATGTAGATACTGTCATAATCTGAATTGGGGACGTGGGTCTTTCCATGAAAGGAGCTCTCCCTCCATCTGAGGGCTTTTCTCTGGAGAATGTGGTGATAGTAACAGGTGACATAGCTCGCTCTGGGCCCACTGAGCTCTCAGAACCTTTTCCTTTTTGTGACACATTTGGAGAGGGAATGATGGTAATTCGAGGCTTCTGATTTCCCAAGGTCGGAATGACAGTGGTGCTTGAAAAAAATTCCTCAGATGTTGGGCTAGTTATTTCCAGAGTAGCTGTGCTATTCTCATGATCGGGAGTCACCCGAATATGAAGAGGTTGCCCCTGCTTTGGGGAAAGGACCACCTCTCCAGGATGTCCTGGGCTACCATGTATTCGGGCTCCTTTATCGTAAGCTGCCTGGGGCACATTATCTCTTTTTCTCATCCATGGTATCCAAGATTTCCTCATTGCAAGCTCATTTGCTGCTGGGGGATACCTGTCAAGCACAGACGAGCGCTCCATGGGTTTTTTCAGCCCTACCTGTCGCAGATTACTCATGATGTGATTTTCTTCTTGGAAGGATTTCCTTATAAACACGGCTGGCGTTTCTTCTTCTGCTGTTTCATTACTTACAGCATCAGTCTGCACCCCTGTGGATGTCACAGGAACATCTACCATTCTTCTACCATTCATGCTGGGTCTGAGGACACGGCTGTAACGCTTAGAAAGCTCTAACTCTTTTGTTAAGTTCAGGACTTCCTGCCCCATATTTTTGTTTTTATTTTCTTCCTCCATAAATCTTTGCTGCAGAACAGAATAATCAACTTGGAGCTGGGAAAGCTGATCTTCTTTGTTCATCAGCTCATGAATTTTTTCCTTAAGTGCTTGCACTTCTGCTTTCAAATCTCTGCTTTTAGCCTCTTCTAGCCGAAACCTGTGCCTCAACTCGGCTTCCTGACTCACCACTTCACCCTTCTCTATTGCTTTGGTTTTGGCAATCTGGAGTTTCATTTCCTCCAGTTGCTGAGAAAGGAAGTTAGCTTTGTCCTGCTCTGTCCTAAATTTCTGCTCCAGCTGATCATATTCATCCTCTGTCTTCATCAAGTCTCCTTCAACCACTTCCAATTGTTTGAGACGTTTTTTCAGTCTTTCAATTTCAATGGTTAGTTCTTTAATCTTGTTGTCCTCCTGATAAGCAAGTTCTGGTCCTTTTCTGGCTCGACCTCTTGCTATTTCTCTTTCTACTTCCTCTATACTTTCAATTCTTTTCTTTAACAGATCAACTCTACAGCTCAGTTCAGAGGATTTTTCTTCTTCGCTTTTCAGTTTCCCAATTAACTCATCTCTTTCCTTTGTCAAACTGGACACTTTTTCCTCCATTTCAGTTTTTAGTTTCAAAAGCTTCTTACTTTCATCTATTAATTTCTCAGTCACATCCATAACTTTACTTTGTTCCAACTTAACATTTTTGTTCAGACCTTCAACTTTTCTTTCTTCCTGCTTTATTTTTTCCATCATATTTTTTCTTTCATCCACCAGCATGACAGTAAATGACTTTAGCTTTGTAAGGTCCTCTTTTAAGCTTAGTTCAGCTTTTTCCAATCTACTTTCTGAAGATTCAAGATCTTTCACTCGAGTCTTCACCACGTCCAACTCACTTATTAAGTCTTTGGTTAAATGTTTTTCTTTCTCCAGATTTAAGTGCAGCTGGGTACATTCAGACTTACTTTTACTAAAAGCCTCTTCTAGCTTCTCCAGTTCTGACATTCTCTTCTGCAACTTTTCCACTTCAAGTTTCAGCTCTTTGCTATGATGTTCTTCCTCTTGTAGTTTCTTTTTCAACTCTCTACACTGGGATTCAGTTTTTGTGATCTCCTCATCTTTGCCTTCCATTTCAAGTACACGCTTGCGTAGGTTTTCCACTTCAGCCATCAAGCTAGAGTTTCCACATTCCCCTTTTGCTATTTTATCCCTTAATTCCTGAAGTTCTTCCTCAGCCTTGTGAAGATTTTTGTTAGTTTCTTCTAGTTCCTCAATTCTACGAGTCAAACCAACCAGCTTAAGTCTCAGCTGTCTGTTATGTGACTCTTGATTAACCAGTTTAGTGGTCATTTCCTCATGCTCTTGAGAAAATGATAACGTCTTGTGTTCAAGTTCTGTTTCTAACTTCATCAATTTTTGTCCATCTTCTTTTGTTTTTGAACTAATAACTTTAAGCTTTTCTTCTTCTTCCTTTAATTTCTGAGCAAGATCTTCTATTTTTTGACTTTGCTGACCAAGTTGTTCAATATGCATTTGTCTCTCATCCACCAGCATGAGTGCAAATGACTTGAGTTTGACCAGTTCGTCTCTCAATTTATTGAGTCTCTTTGTGTGTTCTTTCTCCTTGCGGGCTTGATAGATTTTTTCCTGTTCAAGAAGCTTCTTTAATCTGAAAAAAATAGAATACATACATTATTCAAGTGCATTTTCCCCTTTATATTTCAATGCTCAGCCACAGATTTTCATGTTGCATTAGTGTCCAAGAGTAATCTCTTAACACATTGTCTCATATAACTCTCCCAAAGTTATTTAAATTAGGGAAGCTTATTGGAAATTACACAAAATTGTTTATTAGTCTAAAAAAATAGTGTTAAGCATAAGATTTTATCCTCCGACTACTGTAAATTACTACGCATTTCCCCTTTATTTGGGTGGAAATATACTATTTCAGATTTCCTCTGATCTAATATATAGGTGACATCATTCAGTTACAGGATACATTATCTTCAGTGGCAGAGGTGAAAAACAAAAGTTTTAATACGCAGCTTTGAACTGAATTATCCTAAATGTACGTTACTATCATCATTCCACCTGAGAAATTGTATCATTTACCCAACAGGACATATATATACATTTAATAGCCCATTTACATTGTGCCAGCTTCATAAGATGGAAGCCTCATTAGCTTGTTGTACATGCAAGAATGCGTGAAATGAGATCAGATCTGAGTGAATAGCTTCAAGTTGCCAGGATTCACTAGATCAACACTGGTCAGAAGTGAAACAGCTGAACAGAAGTACTGTATGTCAGCTCTCAGTCACCATACTACCCATTGCAGCAGTGGTAAATTAATATAAAAATAAGTTTGGCTGCTTAATAACTGCTGTAAATACTTTAAGTGTTTAACTTTCCTGGGCTCAATTCTACATACAGAACAGTACAAAACTGGCACTCCTCTATTGACTGCAAGGATCAGACTAATCAAAGCTTTAGCTAGAACACAAATTCTCTACTTGACATTGAGCAATTAAAGAGCAACTGGATTTTCTGACATTTTACAGAATGCAAAGGCTCATGAAGAAACTAGATCTATTATCTAAAAATGATTTAAATCTGTGTTGTGTATAACAATACTTTTTCAGCCCTATTCAGATAACATGTCAAAGTAGAAACAAAGCATACTTTAGGCCCATACTTTAAATCAAGAACACATGGATATCAATGTAGAAAGTGACAGGGCAGAGATTAGTAAAAGAGATGTTTTTCCACAGATACAGAGGTATTGTTGTAGGGATATTTGTTGCCATAAATTTAGGAGTACTGTCGTAAAAAGTAACAATATTGTTTTAAAGAAGATACAGATAGGTTTACACAAATTACTGGGAAACTACATACTGTTCAATCCATTATCAAAGTACTCTCAGTTCCTGCATTAAGATCCATGCAACAGTACAAGTTCATTGCTTTGTTCAGTCTATATCCAAAACATTTTAACCCTTCACAACCAACTGAAAAGCTAATTTTCCTGGATCTTGACTTAACAGCAAGAACTAAAATTAACTTGGTTCATAGGAACTATTGCCATCTCACTACTGATTCCATGGGGATAAAAAAAAAAAAAGACCAGGATCTGGGATGAAAAGCCATATGAAAGGGGAGGGAAGCCAGAACACTTCAGTATGCAATAGGCTGGGAAGGCAAATGTCAAAGAATGTGATTGAATGAAAGAGTGAGATGGGACATGGGTGGAAGAGGAGGGCAACAACATTAGAAATAGAACTCATGGTGAGCTCAGGAGGAAAGGCAAGAGTGGGAGGAGAAACTATCAGGTATAGTATGATGTAGTTAGGAGGGGAAAGAGAGGGGGAAATCAGGGTAGCTAGCACAAGAGAAGAAAATCAGTTTTGCTGTTGCAGCTCCTAAGAGACGTAAAAAAATGAAAGTGAAAGAAAGATCCCCAAGCAGCATGCACTGCCATTATACATTCTAGGTAAATGTGCATAGGGTGCAATGAGGAGTCCCGTGACACCTTCTAGACTAACTTTTGAAGATTCAGACTAACACAGCTACTCCTCTGATACTTGTGCATAGGGTGGCACTACCAACCCCAACCTCAATACTGCAAGTTTCTTAACAAACAAGAACTGCTGAACTAAGCCTTTATAAGGTCACGTAAGCAAAAAGAACTGTATCCTTGAAAACTCTCAGCCCCTTTTCCCCAAAAAAGGGAATTTAAAAGAACCTAGATGTTTGAATGACTAACATTCAATTAAGATACACATCCTCTCTGAAGCTGGCTGAGTAGATGAATAAGAACATAACCTTGGCCATACGGGATCAGAACAACGATCCACCTAGCCTAGTATCTTATCTTTCTGCAATGGTCAGTGACAAATGTTTCAGAGGAAATGAACAAGTGATCCATTAGGTCATTTAGTCAGTGGTTGAGGGACACCCTGTGCACAGGGTTAACTCCTTCGCCATCCTGGCTAATCACCACTGATGAAGAATAGCCACCTATCCTCCATGAACTTACCTAACTCTTTTTTGGACCATGTAACAATTTTGGTCTCCCCAGCAGCCACTGGCAAGGAATTCTGCAGTTGACTGTGCCTTGTGTGAAGAAGTACTTCTTTATGTTGGTTTTAAATTCACTACCTATTCATTTCATTGGGCGACTACTTGTTCTTGTATTATGTAAAAGGGTAACTAACACTTTGTTATTCACTTCTCTACACTAATCATGATTTTATACACCTCTAGCATATGCCCCCCTCAGTCATCTCTTTTCTAATCTGAACTGTCACTCTTTTTAATTTTTCCTCACAGAGAAGTTGTTCAATTGCCTAATCATTTTTGTTCCCTCTTTTAACATATCTTTTTTCAGATGGAGTGACTAGAACTATGTGAAGTATTCAAGTTGTGGTTGTAACATGGATTTATGTAGTGACATTATGACATTTTCTATTTTATTATCTGTTTCTTTCCTAATCATTCCTAACATTGTTTGCTTTTTTGGCTGTTGCTGCACATTAAGTGGATATTATCAGAGAACTATCAACAAGGACTGCAAGATTTCTTTCTTGAGTGGCAACAGCTAATTTATATCCCATCTTTTTGTACGCATCATTGGATTATGTTTTCCAATGTGCATTTCACTGCTTTTATCAGCATTGAATTTAATCTGCCATTTTGTTGCCCAGTCACCCTGTTTTGTGAGATCCCTTTGTCATTCTTCACAATTACCTTTGGACTTAACAAACTTGAGTAATTTTGTATTGTCTGCATACTTTGCCATCTCACTGTTTACCACTTTCTCTAGGTCATTTACTAATATGTTGAATAACACTGGTCCCCTACAAATGCTGGGGGACCCCTGCTATTTTCCTCTCCATTGTGAAAACTGACTATGTATGTCAGGGTGGGCAATATCATAGCAGTGGTTTGCCAGGATTAGCCCCTGGCAGACCACCATTATATTTCCTGGCATGGCCACAGGTACCCCTAGGCCATGTGGGAACCTGCCCTACCACCTAGCTGTCAGGGTGCCCTTTATCTCTCCAGTACCAGGGATGACCTGACCTGGGACTAGAGCCCATGACCCTGTCCTTTCCAGGTGATGCCCTATCCTCTAGACCAAGCAGGAACCTGCCCCACCATCTTGGCGTCAGGACGCCCTTTATCCCTCCAGCCCCGGGGACGACCCGGGTGATCACAACTCACCATTCGCAACCAATCGGAGTGGCTAGAAGTGGTGTTGACTGGGACACTGCTTCCTGCAGCTTCCATTGTCTGGGAATGGCAATCTGCAGCTGTGTAAGTAAATACAGTGGTGGGAGCCTGCCAGGAGCTAACCTTGTTAGACTGGATCTGGCCCTCAGGTCCATATTTGGCCACCCCAATAGACGTCTACCCTTTGTTTCCTATCTTTTAACTAGATCCATGAGAGAACCTTCTCTCTTAACCCATGATTTCTCACTTTGCTTAAGAAACTTCGGGGACCATTTCATCAATGGAAACTAATTCTACAAAAATATTAAAAGCAAGAGGAAGACCCAGGCCAGGGTAGGCCTATTACTCAACGAAGAGGGAAAAACAAGAACAGAAAATGTGGAAATGGCAGAGGTTCTTAATGACTTCTTTGTATTGGTTTTCATCAAGAGGACTAATGGTGATTGTACTTCTAGCATAGTGAATGCTGGTGAAAATGAGGTTTCAAAGTTAAACTAGGATAATACTAATAAGTTCAATTTTTTTTTAAAGTTAGATGTTTTCAAGTCACCAGGGCTTGATGAAATGCACCCTAGAACACTCAAGGAGATAACTGAGCTGTTAGCCATTATTTTTGAAAAATTATGGGAGACAGAAGATATGGAAGACAGAAGATATTCTAGAAGGCTAGAAAAGGGCAAATACAATGCCCATCTATAAAACAAGAGAAATAAGGATAACCCAGGAAACTATACATAAGTTGGCTTAACTTTTGTACCAAGAAAGAGAATGGAGCAAATGTATGGGCTGCCGGTGAAGGTAGGGCTGGGGGAAGAGTGTGCAACCCTAGCCTCCCCTGCTCCAGAGCACAGGGAGGGAGGATAGCACGCGTCCCCAGCCTCTACGTCCCCAGAGCAGCTGGAAGGGCACACATCCACAGCTGCTCCAGCCCCAGAGCATGGGGAGGGAGGAGAGCGCATGGTCTCAGCCTCTCCAGCCCTGGAGCATGGGAAGGGAGGAGAGTGCATGGCCCCAGACTCTCCAGCCCTGGAGCATGGGGAGGGCACATGGCCCCAGCCTCTCTGACCCCAAAACACAGGGAGGACATGTACCCCATATTCCCTGGCCCTGGAGCACCCAGCCTCCCCGGCCCTCGAGCACAATAGGCATTCTGGGGGTGGAGTGTGTGCAGGGCCAGGCTGGCAGTTTGGGAAGGTAATGCCTTCCCCCACCTAGGATACCAGACGCCCATGAGCAAATAATTAAGGAATCCTTTTGCAAATATCTAGAAGATAATAAGGTGATAAGTAACAGCCAGCATGAATTTGTTAAGAACAAATCCCAGCAAACAATCTGATAGCTTTCTTTGACAGGATAACAAGCCTGGTGGATAAAGGTAGGGTGAGCGTATTTCCCTATGCTGAATATAAAATATCTGGTAAATTACTGGTATTCAAG